TTAACATGCAGCATTCTAATTTATAAGGTGATCAGGGCTATCTGTTTGATATTATCAAAACATATGCATGTTCAACTGTTGGGAGATTATAATGTACAGAGGGTTGGTTTTTTCCTCTCTCTTCCATCAACCTATCCAATTGTATTTTGATTGTTTTAAGGGGTTGTTCTTTAGACCTAAGGCATAAAGCCTCCTCTGTTTTATTCCAGTTTATTTGTGCATTTACCTCCCTAAGACTTGTTTGGTTTACTACCATACTAAATGCTGTATGTGTTGCTTTCAGCCAGGCAAGCCTTATGTTTCAATTATGGAGGAGTTTATTCAGCACCTGTATTGCGTTGTGCTTCTTTTCAACTGAATTTCCATTTCCCAAAGGCTATATGCATGAATATGTGTACATCTCTTTTTCTGTATGTATACACACATACAAATCTATACATTTATACATATACACAAATATATCGCCTTAACTGAATGCTCATTTTCATTGCACCTTTGAATTTCTAAGACATCCAAAACCTTCATAAACATCTTTAGACTTAACAAGGTTTTCATTTTTCTATCATCTATCTTTGTAATCAAACAGAATGAATATAATGAATGGAAGCCTTGATTACCTACCCCTGAGGTGTCTTAAATTTAAAAACTATTTATACTTTTAGAAGGTAGAACAGGAAAAGAACTAAACTCTTCTTTTCATGCTGCATTTTTCTAGCTGCATTGAATGCTGATTGAGTGAGGTTCGAGTCAGGTAGAAGCACCATTCTAACCACGGGATCTGCAGTAGTGGATTTCAAGGAGGTTTTGGGATTTTGTGATTTCCCCACTCCTAAATAAGGGTTGAAAGACTGTTGTAGATCTCCGGTCTATGAAGAGCCTTGCTTTCCCACTGCACACTATCTCCACTCTTTAAGTGCACTCACACGCATGTGTGTCAGTAAACCTCAGTTAAGTGTAGAATGCTGATTTCTTCTGACTACCTAAATAGAATATTATGGAGACCTGTATGTTTTAAATTAAAACGCATTTCAGACCTTGGGTATAAGCAAGCTTAGATAGAAAAGGCTGTTTAAACCTATGGGGACAGTCTTATGTTTAGATTACATTAATTCATAAATATTATACTAAATACCACTTAAATTGGCCTTAAATGACTTCAAAGATAATGCATTATAATATGGCTGTCCTGAGAGCACTAACCTTTATGTCTCCCAGTAACTCAGCCTTTAAGCATACTCCACTGCTAGGTAAGAAGGGGAAAAGTTATGAATGAATGGCTTCCTAAATGGTTCAAGTGTGATTAGTGCATGTGTGTGTGAGTGTGTATGTGTGAGCATGTGGGTGGGTCAGCTCAGCCCCGGTAGATTTCTACCCGTGGATCTCAGCACACAGCCTCCTCCCAACCCTACAGCAAAGTACCACAGCAGAAGCTTGTTCCTGCCCCGTGTGGAGAGAAGTGAAGACGGGGGAAATATGCAGCAGCAATGTTTGTTCCATGAAAGCTCGTTTTCTCAGGGATCTGGCAAGCTTTTCCCGCCTTCTCTCACATGCTGCTTCCCCCGTACCCTTTTCACTCTTCATATGCCTGCAGAAGAATCCTGCTCCTATGCTTCTTCCTTGGTATCTGGCTTGTTATCCGCCAGAGCTGCTGGTGAAGTAACCTGGGACTTCACTCTCCTTTTGTGATAGTGTTTTTGGGAGGGGGCATAGTCATGTACTTTGTCTTCAGGTTCTTAATTTTCAATTTCCTCCTGCTATACAGGAGCACCAGAGTATCTCTTCATTACATTTTCAGGAATACACATACTGTGCTCTCATTTCAATGTATTTACACCTGAAATTACTCTGGTTGTTATGTTTTCACTTGAAACTAATTCCTGTCTCTTGCCTCCTTCCAACACAAACCCACCTTCTCCCTCTCCACACCCAAGGTTTGTTCTCCATAGACTTAAATAAACTACAGCCCAGTATTAACCCTTCAAGGTATACCTCTACCACAACCTCCTCCCCTGGATTAGGAATGAAATCAACTGAGAGTGATGGATCAATTAATGTATAAGCATTACGCATCACTTATGGAAAGCATCTTGGGGCTTCGTATTGCCAACCTACCCCTGAGAGCCAAGTTGGACTATCTTTATACAATTCTTCACTCATGCCTGCAAAACAAAGCCATAATGAGGAGATCTGAGTGAATACTATGCTTCACATGACTGCATTTAGAGAAGGGAAAAGAAAAAAATAGATTAAAAATGAAAAAAGAAAAAAAAAAAAGCCAAACACAACCTTCATCCTTCAAAGCCCCATCATGCTTTTTGACTTAATAGTAATTAATCACTACTGGCAAGAAAGTAATTTTTTTCCAGGTAGCCAGAGGCACATTTTGATCAGGATTAGCTAATAAATCAGCGGCATCGCTAGAAAGGAGTTCAAACTCTTCTCGGATGTACTAAATAAAACCGATCCCTGAAATGCTGCCAACTCAGTGTCTATTGAAGCTTCACTCAAACCCTAACCTGCAAAATAACAATCATCATCATCATTTTTCCCTCCAAAGTCCAAAACTTCTAGGAGGTTAAAAATTGCTGTTTCTGTCAAGATGAACTCGTGCAGTTTGGTTTGATGAAGTGACAAGATTTCCCACCTGGCTTTTTTCCTAGGTTGCTGCTTTATAACAGAAATGAAATGAAGGGGAATGAAGTTAGTATCTTGCTTAATTCAGGAATATGTGTTAAACACATCCAAGCAAGACAAATGATCCCTCTCTCTCTTCTTCTCTCCCCTGCTTCCTGAGTTTGTCTCTGTGAATGCAGGCATACAGTAAAAGCAAACTGAACTGGAAGAGGAATAATTCACATCTATGAACTAGAAATTAAAGTTATCGCATAGATTGATTAATTACAGGTTTAAGATAGAGCATAACAAAGAATACAATCTCACCAACAAATCAAAATTACCTCTCCCATCACAAAAATCCTTTATTAAGGTGTTAGCTCAAAGATATCCTCTGCACTATGTTGAGTGATTCTCTTTAGTGTAGCTTTTACTGTTGTTATTTTTGGTTTACAGAAACCTGAGATAATTTTTGTAAACACATGCGCGAACACACGAGCTCAGTGCCTACTCTCACTATGCCTCGTATCTTAGACAAAACCTCTCAGGACCTTTCCTTCCGTGTGCTTTTTACTAGCATTTTTATTGTTATTGATAATTATTATAGTATGGATGTCATGTTTAAATGATGCCCATCAGACCTTTATGTGGCTTCTAGGAAGCTAGTCCGAGAAGAAAGCATGGTTCGAAAGGGCTACACTGATAATTGTAAATATAAGAAGGGTGTTTAGAGCAACCGGCAAGCAAAGAAGGAAGAAATATCCTCCAACTTAGTCAGACTGAGTCCCCAGTCCCTGAGTCCTGAACGTTTTCTCTAGCCTATGTGAAACTGGTACTTTGGACCATCAGGGTATATTTTCATTCACGTTTCTTGAGGGTGGAAGAGAGCAGGGGAGCGATTGGGAAGGGGAAGAGATACCAGCTAAACATTCCTTTAAGTTCAAGATTTACAATTTGCCAAGGCATCTGGAAAGCTGGGAAGCCAGTAATGCCATTACCAGTGACTCTCCCTGTCGGGAGTCCACCAAGCTGGAGTAGACACTGTTACTGAATCCCTCCTGTAAAACATACAACTTCCACTCCCCCCGTAATCCCCTGCAAAACCCTTTCTCCTCCCGCATTAAATCTGGAGTCACACCCTAACTAGCTCTGATCTGATCTTTTTGTTTTTATTTTTTCTTTTTTTTTTTTTAATAACTACATATTCAATGAAACAAACACACACACACATGTATATACAGAACCTGAGTTAACAAAGTGGCTTGCTTCACTCCTGGGTCCCTTCTGCTCCTAAGCGGGGCTACCATTCAAATTATCTTCAACTTCCTCCCTGTGAGTCCTACTTTCTTAACCGAGGATCCAAGCATCTCTCCCCCACTACACACACCCTCGTCCACCCCCAAAACGTAGCATCATCTAATCTGAAATGCACCTCCGGAAAGCCTGAGCTAAGCAGAGGAAGGAGCAGGCAGGGGATGGAGTGAGTGAGGCATCACACGGGGAGTATGCCTCCACTGCCTTTAAAGAAAATCTTAAAAGTTCCCGGGATGGACTTTAAGCACATTAAAGTAGTGCTTGGAATATGCCTGCTTGGAGACTTCTCTCCTCTGGAACTAAACTGCCACCTGTCCCTCCTGGTTCACCCTCTCCAACACACACACCCCAGTCGTGATTTCGTACAAACACCCCCACCCCGCTTGAGATAGGCTTTTTTATTGTTGTTTAAATCCCTGTTCCCACACTGAGCAAAGCCAAAATTAAATACTCCCCTCATCTCTGGAGCAACTCGCTCCCTTCTACTTTTGGCTTTGGAGTGGACTGCAGATAACAATTGTAAGAGCAGTAAAAACAAAAATGAAATAAAAATAAGAAAAGAAGAAAAAAGGAAGGTGCTGGTGCCCGATACACAACAGTTGTAAAATAGGGGCTTCCCAGCCCAGCGCAAACACACGGACACACACACACCCCTGGGTGGAAAATGTGCTGCTCCCACGGATAAATAAAGAAATCCTATTCCCGTTTTCAGCACCACCGGCGGGCGGACAGCTCCCCGCCAGCCCTGCCGCCGCTTTCTGCCCGCCCGGGCGCCCGGCGCCCGCGGGCAGCGGCACCTCACCCCCCAAAAAACGGGAGGAAAAAGGTAAAAATACTGATAAATGACCCAAACTGAGCTGACTTCCTTCCCTGCATCTCTCTCTTCTCTTTCCAGGAAGGTTTATTATTTCTTTCCCTGCCCCCGTTGCTTGCCACCTCCGCCCCCGGGCCAATTGAAAATGGAATAAAATGAAATGAAATCGAAAGGAAAGAGGGAAAGAGAGACCCGGAGAGGAGAGAGAGCCTGCCTTTCTCTCCCGGTCTCTCTCGGGAAAGTTCAGGAGGTAACTCACCTTTGTGCATGCCAGTGAACCTGTCCTTCAGCACTGTCAGTTCATAGATCTTCCCAAACTCCTCGAAGAGCGGTTTGAGGTCTTTCTCGTCCAGGTTACGGGGGATCTGCCCAATAAAGAGCTTAATGGCATCGTGGTCCTTCATTGGGATGGTGGATGGGTTTCCGGGACTATGGTTTAATCCGTTCATATGCCCGTTGGTGCTGGGGTTGCTGTGATTGCTACTCAGGCTGGTATTGTCTGGTTGTCCGTTTGCTAACGTGGCCATCTTTATATACATAGAGAAAATCTTCTTTCCTTTTTTTCCCCCTCTTCTTTTCTCTCTCCCTCCCTCTCTCTCCCTCTCTCTCTCCCTCTCTCTCGCTCTCTTGCTCCCTCTCCCTCTTTCACACACACTCTCTCTCTCACACACACTCCTCCCTCTCCGTCTCTCTCTCTCTCTGGGTCTGATCTGATTTTTTTTTTACATTGAAGATCTGTGTCCTTTCCGTTTAAACAGGCTGGATCGGTTCAAATTCCCAGCCAGACTAGGGGGTGGGGTGTGAGTGTGTGGATGTGTGTGTGTGCGGGGAAGGGAGGCTGGGGGTGGGGGATCGCTTTTGCCTTTACACTGGCTAAACCCCCTCCTCCCATCCAACCACCCCCCTGTCTGTCTGCCCGGGAGAAGCTTAATGGTATCTTCCAACACAGCCCCTGGCTATAAATAGCACTAGGCGCATGGCTCTTTGAGAGACAGTCCATTTCTATTGTGCCAAGTGAGCAAAGGGGAGCGTTTGCGCTTTTAGGACCAATGATGGTGATTTTTTTTTTTTTCTTTTCCTTTCCAAGCCCTCCGCTCAGTCGCTGTCTTTATAATTTCAGTGATCATCATGAAATCCGCCTTTTTATTTGAGAAGGGGAAAAAAAAAATAACAAAACCCAAGGTGTTCTGACTTCTTCCTGTTATGATGGTGTCTCTTACTTATTATTTACTCCTATTCCGATTTCGCAATTGATAATAAAAGCAGTTCAGATACGGACGAATCCTCGGGCTCAGAGGTTGCTTTTGCTGTTGTTGTTGTGGTTGTGATGTTACAAGCTCTCTTTACTATATCTGTTCTTGTTGCATCTAAAAATAAATGCATGCTCTTTAAGCCTTTCCTTTTTTTAATTATGCCGATTATGATGATGACATCAAGCTAAGAAAAGCGCAAACGGTATTATTGTAGCTCTTTGGAGGGAGGCGAAAAATACTGAAATTGCTACAGTTAATTTTCATGCTGCCGATATTTATTTCATGTACGATCGGTGCAGGCGTTATCTCCTATACGAGTAGCTTGGGGGGGGGGGGGTGTTATGGGAAAAGGGATTGATTAGATAAGATTTTCCTGCCCGACTTTCAAGCCATCAGGATATTCTGTCTCTCTGATGGAAACATAAATTGTATTTTGCAGTCATCAGGGATCGGGAGTTGCTTGTCCGAACAATGCTCTCTAGACAAAGTGCCCTGTATGGTGGAAATGAAATCAGCTCTCCTTTCACAGCATCTGGGGGTGGGGAGAGCAGGGAGGCTCGGATTAAGGACACAACTCCCCCTTATCCCCCAAATAATAATAACAGTAATCCGGGCAGTAACAAAACAAGGCTCGGCGTGTGCTCGGAGCAATTTTGCTTTCTTTTTTTTTTTTTTTCCCTGTTTTTTTTTTTTTTTCCCCTCCCCTTTCCCCCGCTTCCCGTGCAAGCTGTGCGGGGATGGAGCTCGGAGAAACACCAGCAGGCGAGCTCGGAGCAGCTTGCGAGTTACCTGGTCTGAACCCCCGCCCCAGCCCCGTCTCCGGTCGGGCTGCAGCCACTCGGTCCCCTTCTATCCGCTGTACCGGGAGGTGCTGGCAGGACCCCGGCCGGGGCTCACAGCCATTGTTCCCTGCGCCCCCTGCTTATCCCCGCGGCGGAAGCAGCGGCGGCCCCGGGGAGCGGGAGTGGAGGGGGGCAGTGGGAGGAGTGGACTGAGAACGGGACCCCCACGGCCGCCCGTCCCCCGGGAGCGAACGGGCAGGGCGCCTGTAACACGTGTGACTGTAAACGGAAGGGGGATAATCAGCTTAAATTTGCAACGTTCCTGCATGTTTTATTGACCGGTATTTTTGTTTCTGTTTTAAAAACAAACAGAAAAGGAAAAAAGAAAATAAAAACCCCAACCCACCCAAACAAACAAAAAAACCCCACCACAACACCTTTGAAGCAGTTTTCACTTTATTTGGCTTTCGTTTTAATAACAGAGCAGCAAAGCTCTGTCCGCCCCCCTCAAAAAATAGATATTATAAAAAATCATTATTAAATATGAGCACGGCGCTGGTGGCTCCGCTGTTACAGCTACTCCGGTGACTGCGAGTCCTCCCGTGCCTTAAACGAGCGCCCCTGGCAGAGGAGCAGCGCGGAGGGGACCGATCCCGGCGGTGCGGAGGGGTGCGGAGAGCTGCGCCCCTCCCCTGGGCAACCCGCGGCCCCGCAGCGGGAGCGCTGCGGGCGGGGACACGGGCACGACCCCACAGAGCCGCACCGTTGGCGGACCCGCCTTTTCCCTTCCCTTTCCCTTCCCTTCTCCCGGGACCTGCACCTGGAGGCACTCCCGAGCAGAGCCCCGGTTGCTTTTTATCGGCTCTTTAAATAAATCTCTTTGGCCGGTAACGGAGAGGCAGCTGCTGTCAGACGCCGAACACCGGGCTGGTGGCAGGCACCGAGCATTGCCTGCTGTCTGACCAGGCGTGCTATTTATTGAGGTCTAAAGGGGAAAACTGTCTGTCTTCCCTTCCTGGGCACGCACTTACAACGTTTGAAGGCTAAAGACACGGGGATCTGACAGCCCAGGAGTTGCGAGGAAGGTAAACCCCTAATACAGCCCCTCTCCCGAATTCCCAGCCCTGTGACTCACCTGCTTTCATATCCTCATATCCTGCCTGCTGCCTCGGACTGTGATAAGAGAATGACAACAAACAACAAAACCCGCATGAAACAAAATCTTCTTGCACCACCCCCCCCCCCCCCGAACCAGGACACCACAAATCTTGATGCCCACTCTTTCCGAACCTTAAAACCCCGCAGAGCTGACTGAGACACGACTTGTAAGACCTTTTTTAAAGAAGGAATATCTGCTATACTGAAAAGTGAAACAGTACCCGGCACTGATCCATCCCAGGGATAAGCTCTGTTAACACCTTGTCCACGAGCAGGCCACTCTGCCTGCAATCACTGCTTATCCCAAATGTAAAGCCAGTTAAAAGAACAGGACAGTGAAGAGTTGTTTTTGCAGCTCAGAGAGGGTGTCCCTTTTGTAACAACATATATTTTTTAAAACTTTGAGCTGGTCCACGCCCCGTTTCCACAGAGCTGTTAAGTATAGTCATTCAGAAATGGATGCTGTTCAAGTACAGCCCCCTGGTGCACAGGCACAGCTGTGAGGGGTGGCAAGATGAAATAACATGGACACAAATATTGCTACAAGGGCTCCGAGATGAACACAGCTGCTGCTGCGGATGGAAATAAGCTATACCCCATAAGCACCTTTACACATGTACAAGGGGCTGTACTGGATTTTAAACAGATACAGGCAAAAGGAGGAGTGAAACTGTTGTCTATAAAACAGCCTTTGCTGAACAGTCCCCAAGTGAGAAATGTTCTCCGTGTAATCACAGTGAGTCCAGTTCGGCAAACCGTAAGCAGGGCAGTCCATAGTTTTTGTAAAAATAAGGTCTTTTGTAACAGGCTTCAGTTTCTTCCAGAGACTAAAAATTATTTACCTACTTGGAACAAAAATAAAGCCCATTCAATTTTTTCTTCTTTTCTTTTTATATTTTAATGTGCCTGCTTGCAGGAAAAAAACAACCCCCTCCCAAGCCCATTTACAGCCCATTTTGCTCCTGCTGCTCACTCTGGTCAGTGTCATTTTTTGGGAACACAAACACTATTTATTCTGGGGGAGATCGCCAGCAATTTTTACCTCCTCGGAAGAAATGCTACCCCAAATTGGCACAGCTGGAAAAATGCACTAATAACCCTGGGCTGGGAGCAGAGGGATGCAGCAGGACCAGCTACAGGTACACACACACCTCGTCTGAGAGAGGGCTTGCGGATCAGGCTTTGGCTTTTAATGTGTCTTTCAAAGGGTTTGATTGATTGCTGTTAATCCTGTGAACAACTTCGGTGTTGTTAACAGGACTGCCCGCATTAGTAAAGGTACTGCATGCATTAGTATGCTCCTCGTCCCCATGACGTCAATAGACAGCTTCCCAATGACTTCCAGGAGGGCTGGATCAGGCCCTCGCTAGCAGCAAGTTTTTAATGAACACTGCTTGGTGCAGGGAAGGGGGGCACAGTGATATATCAGTCCTGACTATCTTCATTCTCCAGGAAACAAGCAAGTGAAGAAGAAAGGCAGGAATAGGCCGAAAGGTTGCTGGAGGGGGATTCTTCTGCTGAACTTCAAAACCCCGGGCCCATGGCACACAGAACCATCATCCGCTGAAGGATTTAGAATAAATGGCAGGCAAGTTTTATTAAAAAAAAAAAAAAATGGTATGTGTGAATTTTGGTTTTAAATACTAATTTATCCTTTTTGCACCTAGGTAGCTCTCTCAGCCCTTATACTCCCAGATTCTCTGCCAGCTTATTTTATTGAGGTTTTTCCAAATAAAGCGTGAGACTGCTAATAGCAAAGATACACGTTCTGGTCACGATTCGAAGATACAGCTCTCAGCTATTATTAAAGGTCCCGATCCTGCCAAGTCTTCTAACTCAGCTGGGGTTGTTTACATCAGCTTGTTAGTCTTTATAGGGAGTGCTGACAAGATCAGGGCCTATTAGCTACGTAATCAAATAAAATAATTGAGAGCTGCATGTGGGCCTTTAATGCATCTAACAAAAGGAGGGGGACCATCATCCCCCCGAACTTCGGGTGAGAACCTAAGCATCAGGGGATGGACCCAGTCCTGAAAACCTTAATCTGCATTGTTGTTAATCAGTCTGTTGTGGTCAGAGGGGTTATTCGTTTGAGGAAGGATTACTCATGTGAACATTTGCAAGATTGGTCTCTGAATTAATGCATGAAGCAGTGTGGGTTGAGTCTTCTTTTTTCTTTATTTTTTTCCCTCTGCTTTAGTTAGAATCAAGGAGGTTGATTAAGGAGAGAAATGAAAAACTATTTGTATCTAAAGGAGCTTAGTACAGGATTGCAGTTAATGTAGGCAACAAAAGGTATGACTGTAATAAAAAGGATCTTTGTTTATGGAGGCCTTTTGTTATTTAAGTAGCACTGGTGAGTTCCAGGTGGTAAAGAGGTGGTAAAGTGAAGGCTGCATAAGTCCCAGGGGTTAATAAGAGAACAGGAAAATAGGAGAAAGTGTGTATGCATGTGTTTGCATGCGTGTTTAGACACAGGATTTGTGCAGACACATACATACACATCATTACATACCACCCAATGGATTTTTCTATTTAAACAGAGCTCTCCAGAATATTCCTATTACCCATGCTGTGAACACTGTGAATATGTTGTAGTAGTCCTTTGAAAAGAGTATCAAGTTTATTATCTCCGCATCCTTTTCCATAATACATATGTCCCTGTACATAATGAGTATTGAAAGCAGGAAAGCTTGTATTGTGGGGACAATAATGCTTCATGTTA